TGATGGTGACACTGCCGCATAGTATTATTAATATACTCATATTATAGGCGTGTGTACATATTCATATGAGTATATATTCATACTCATATTCAACTCATATTAGTTGAATTGCATGTCATGCCTCTGTTTCGTAACAAACAACATAGTATTGACTTACAAAGCAATTCCTTTGTTTGATCTAGATATACCGCATTGGTGGAGCTAAATGTCCAACAAGCCGCTAAGGACATGGAGAAAGTGTTGGATGTTTCACTGAGTCAAATTGCAGAAGATGAATCATTGACATTGCCTCAAGATCCACCGTCCTATCCCCTTTTCTCCAAGCAATTCTTACGCCTACACGGCCGCGATCTCTTCGGTTGCTCAGCTTCGTGGTTTCTCGTGGACGTAGTCTTTTACAGCAGCAACCTCTTCCAATCTAAAGTTTACGGAAAATATCTCGGGAAAAAGTACGAATCCAACGTGTATGAAGATGCTATACATGTTGCCCTATTTCAAGCCATCGTTGCAATATGCTCAACAATTCCAGGCTACTGGTTCACTGTGTATTTCATCGATCGCATCGGAAGGCGCAAGATTCAAATGATGGGTTTTCTCATTATGGCCTTGGTTTATTTCGCAATTGGGATACCTTACACATCTCATTGGCAACATCACATAAATAAAGGTTTCATGGTCCTCTATGGCCTCACTTTCTTCTTTGCAAATTTTGGACCAAACACTACTACTTTTATAGTGCCGGCTGAACTTTTCCCGGCGAGATTTAGGTCAACCTGTCATGGGATTTCCGGGGCGACTGGGAAGGTAGGGGCCATTATTGGCGCAGTTGGATTTGGGTGGGCCTCACATGGTCAAAAGGAGGATCCTAAAGCAGTCAAGATCTTACTGGTGATCTTAGGTGGAGTTTGTCTTTTGGGATTGGCGGTAACGTATTTTTTCACACCAGAAACGAAAGGCAGATCGCTAGAAGAGAATGAGGAATGATGAGGAAACATTTATTAAATGCTCAGATGTTTGTTTCATAACTAGTGAGGTCAAATGCTGCTGCTATTCATAGTTCCTAGTTTATAGTTTGCATACGGTGATGAAGTTATTGCTGCAATTACTTAGAAATTCAACCAATTTTTTCTTCTACTACGTGTGTTTATGTAGAAGCCTCTGTACTGTATCTCCCTTTATCTCCTGTACATAGTAGGCTGAGGTTTCAGGGAACCAGCCATGAGGAAAAAGTAT